TCTCAGCTCGTTGTAGAACCATGTTCATGCAGGTGGACTGATGGAGACCACAGCTGGACTCGCTGTGGTTCTTTGAGGTTCTACTCTGGAGCCTGAGTTTTAAATATCGTTTTTTTTTTGTTGTTTTTTTTTAAAATAAAGAACTAGTTTCTGATTGTTTAAGGAAATACTCTGCTGTTCTGCTTGGTAGTAATCTGATTACTGTGAGGCGAACACAGAGCTGCTGCTGACTCTCCAGGTAGAACATTAACTATTCACTGACTTCTTCCTCATTTTGGCAACAAACACTGGGATCGTCTGAAACTTCATTTGGTACATTTAGGAAGTGAAAACATTGATTCTCAGATATTTGCCTAATTTTCCTTCTTTGAATCTAAAACACCAAAGAAAACATCCTGATCAACTCTTCTTTAGTCATTTGTTCTTTTCTTCCCCGTTTTGTTCTGTCCATCCTTCTTCTGGTTTTAAGCAGCCTTCAGTTCCAACACGACCTGTTAGAAAAGTTTCACAGTAAAATCCCTCAAGAACTTTAAAGACACAATTCTTTCCTTTTATTGTGAAACATCAGCAAGAAGTTTAGATTTTCACTGACAGCAGCTGAGAAACCAGAAACAAGCAGCTGTGGTGAATGAAGCTGGTTCACACACTGTGTTGTGTGTTCTCCATCTTCTCCCACAGGAGGATGATTCACCTCCCATGAAAACATGAACTCAGCTTAGTGACCGTCTTTATTCGGATCACATCAAACAAAAAAACAGAAATCAGATTTCTCCATCTTCAACTTAAATTCACTTTTTTGTCCAGAAAGCAAACCAACGTGAGCGTTGGTGCGAGCGTCCTCGTGTCGCTGCAGTAAACTGTCTCTGAGCAGATCAGCAGCTTCAGCCTTTGATCACAGCGATCGGCCGCAGCTTGATCGCCTTCTTGCTGATTCCAGCGTCGTGACACGTGTTGACGACGTCCGTCACGTTCTTGTACGATTCAGGAGCCTGAAAACAGAGAAGAGCTTCAGAAACAAGCCGAGATGAAGGTTTGTGTTTTCTCAGACGATCTGGAGGAGTTCAGTCCTCCACATGAACCCTGACCGCCACAGAACAACACAAGTGAAACCAAAGGTGGTGGAACATCTCCTGACCTCCTCCATCACCAGCTTGGGTGAAGCCACCCGGATGGCGATGCCCTGGTCCGCCAGCTTGTCCAGAACGTCCTGAAAGTCCAGATTCCTGCGAGACTTTGCTCGAGACAGAGCGCGACCCTGAAACAGCGACAGGAAGTCAGTTACTGAGAAGAAACAAACCTCCAGAGCTTCACAACAGGCTCAAAGTCAGACGTTAGGCCAGAGCCTAACTGGACCAACATGGAGCTCAGCTGAAGAAGAAGAAAAGAGAGTGTGAGGTCCCGATGGAGGTTCGTGGAGTTCCTTTACCTGAGCTGGCTTCAGGTATGCTGTCTGTTACCATGACAACACACCTGATGATGTCATTCAGAAACATCAACACATTAAAACAAGTCTTCACACATCACACTGACAAACACAGGTTCCTCAGGTGTTCTTCAGAAGGTTCTCTGGTTCTTCAAAGCTCCATCACCAACTGAAGAACATCTGTGTTTAGAGGACGGTTCTTCACTTTATGTGGGTCTTTAAAGGTTCTTCATGTTTACTGGAGCTCTTTGGTTTCAAGTCATCATCTAACTCTGGATCAATCATCTGGTGTTCTCTCTCCTGAACAGGATGAGCTGGTTTCTGCCTGGTGACACAACTAGAAGGTAGAAGGAGGAGCTCCTGCCTCTGACAGTGTTGTTTCTCCTCCTCCTGTTTCCTCTGGTTGAACTCTTCTACATGACCCGAACCCCAGCAGGCCTGACTGGATCTCAGCAGGTTCTGCGATGTGTCTAAAACATTCCTCTGCAGTATTTCTCTGAGTCCAGTTGAGTTCAGTAAAGCTCAACCCACTGATGGACCCATTCACACTTTGACCTGATGGTGGCGCCACAGAAACAGAGTTACTGTAGGAAACAACAACTACATGATGTTGGTGCTGAAACAGAACTCGTACCGCTCCATGACATGTGGTTCCAAACGTCTCTGTCATGCCTTGTTCGGTTCCGGTCAGAACGTAGCTGCAGGTTCCCATCGTCCCTCCGATCAGAACCGGCTGCCCTGTGAGCTGGAGACAGACAGCAGGTTCAGTTCTGGTTTA